ATATTAATATATACTTTCAACATATTGTACCACAGTAGCCAGAATTATAATTATAACATTATTACTTTCATTAATGTTGTTGTAACCTACTGTCATTACCGTCTGTCCTGCATCTCTCTCTGTCTCTCTCTCCGTCTCTCTCTCTCCGTCTCTCTCTCTCTCTCTCTGTCTCATTGTGTCATACGGATTACTGTTAATTTATTATGCTGATCTGTTCTGTATGACATCTATTGCACGTCTGTCCGTCCTGGAAGAGAGATCCCTCCTCAGTTGCTCTTCCTGAGGTTTCTACCATTTTTTTCCCCGTTGAAGGGGTTTTTCCTTATCCGCTGTGAGGGTCCTAAGGACAGAGGGATGTTGTATGCTGTAAAGCCCTGTGAGGCAAATTGTGATTTGTGATATTGGGCTTTATAAATAAAATTGATTGATTGATTGATTGATTGATTGACTGATTGATCATAACCAACGTGACTGGGCCAAGTGTGTCTAAATATGACAGAAGATAGTCTAAAAGGCAGACTGCAGCGAAATTTACTAAGCACATTCATGATTTCCTGCATGAAAACAAACTCCACATACTCAGCCCGACTAATAGAAAAACCCTTGGTAAGTTGCTGTGTCCCACATGCTTATAATGTGGACTGTAATGAACATTGCAGTCTCTTGTTTCCACTGGCAAGACTTTTGTTTTCTTACATCTACTCCTCCTATCACTTCCTCTGTTACGGCTGCCTTGGTGTTGTCTCTGTTCATGTTGGCTCCAGCTCCTGGGAACACACAGCATAGGAAACGGTTGCACAATTTGTTCACATGCATATGTGTTTGCGTGTGTGCACATGGATCTGTGCATGAAATATGTGAAACATACCTCGCACTTTGGAACACTTGTATTTATAAACCACGACCAGAGCAAACGTCAGTGTGAGCAGCACAGCGGGCACGGCGAAAACCACAGGGTGTACACGTGCTGCATCGAGGAAAAAAAAAAAAGAAGAAAAAGAACAGAACTGGGTAAAAATATACACTTCCAAAAAAAACACATACCAGCTGCGCACTCCTCACATACAATATCTGTTATCACAATCTCAAGCACAAAACAGCAATAGTTTCAGAATTATATGATATTAATAGATTATGATTAGTGATACATTTATGTGTTCATCACTTTAATATACTCGGTAGCTTAACACATAATAATATATTATAGTGTATCAGTCGATTTATATTCTGTGTTAAATACTGAATCTATAAAGTAACTGGTAACTTAAGTTGTAAAATTAATGTAGAGGAGTAAAGATTAAAATATTTGCCTCCAAAATGTAGCTGAGTAGAAGTATAAAGTAGCACACAATGGAAATACTCAAGTAAAGTACAAGTACCTCAAAGTTACACATTAGTACAGTATCTGAGTAAACGTACTTAGTTACATTCCACCAGTGGTTACCTCTCAGCATTTGGTGTTTTCATGCTTCCTTGTTTTTTATGACTGGTCATTGTGTGTCGAAACACAATTGTTGGTTCCCACCAAGTGGCAGCCTCTGAGGCTGAGAAAAGAAGCCAACACAGAAGTGCCGAAGACTAGAGTTCCTTAAATGACCACTTGAGGCTAATGCCAGAAGCAAGCCAATCTTCACTGACGCCCATGTTAAAATTTACAGCTTTTCAGCAGATTTAAACATGTTTACAGCCTGGCACAAAAACATTTTGGGTCTCCATATCATTCAACATTTGTGACAACTGTACAGGAGCTGAATTTTTATATAACTCATACTCATTATATTTTTATTAAGGCTTAAAGTTATGCATATTCAAGGGTGTGGCTGCTTGAGTCTATGAGTCAGATCCACCCCTCACTCCTCCACAGCTCCACCTTCCACCACAAATATGGTCACTCCTTGTAGGAGCCAGAAAATGTATTTAACCCTCATTGTTTATTATTTGTTTAGGCTGCACACTTTCTTTTAGTCTCTTTCAATTCTGGTAGTAATTGACACAGGTGTGGGCGTGGTTTGACATCATTTTACCTGTCACTGGTGTGAAGACCTTTTAGACAAAGAGGGTGAGTTTTGGCTCCAGTATTTTGTGCTGACTGCAATCACGTAATATTTCTTATTTTGCTTTAATTATCCAGTTGTTTAATAAGCCACCATAAACGTATCTTTGGACTACAGTATGGATTTCTTTGAACGAGTCACAGTTAAGAGCCTGCTCAGGCTTTTTTCATTGATAGTAGTCGCTACACTTCTAACTCCAAAAATCCAAGATGGCAACAGCCAAAATGCTGAACTCCAGGTTTCAAAACGTCAGTCTACAAACCAATGGGTGACATCACAGTGGCTACGTCCATTATTTTACACACATACGTTTGATCTGTTGTCCAGGGACTGGTGTTGATTGTGATGCAACAGGTTCCACCACAGTGATGGTAGATCTCACAGTGCTGGTCTGCTGTGAAAAGCCTGTGAGAGAAGGTTTTTTTGTAAGTACTCTTAGCATATATTCTTAAAGGAAATGGCCACTTTAGAATGAAAATACAGACAGTACTTACTGACCCTCATGCCAACAAGAAGTCCAGTGTAGTTTTTTAATCCACAAAACTCATTTGGGGTATCGGAGGATAAAAGCTAGCCGGAATAACAGCTACACTTGAAGTGCATGTAACCCACATTCTGAAAATGTAATAAAACTCCGCTAATGCATTTCAAAAACGTCAGAAGAGCTCGTCTGTCGTAATCCAAGTGCCCTGAAGCCGCGGCATGCAAAATTGACTTGAAAAGACGTAATTTACTCCACTTTTATAGCATAATTTCTCACCGTGGTCAGTTAGCCTGCCCTGCAGGCGTGCTGTGTTTACATGGCAACTCGCGCCAGACTAGCTGATAGCTAGTGGTGGTGCTAATTCTTGAGTCTCGCCATGTAAACACAGCAGCCTGCTGACCACGGTGAGAAATTATGCTATAAAAGTGGAGTCTTTTCAAGTCAATTTTGCATGCCGCGGCTTCAGGGCACTTGGATTACGACAGACGAGCCGTTCTGACGTTTTTGAAATGCATTAGCAGAGTTTTATTACATTTTCAAAATGTGGGTTCCATGCACTTCAAGTGTAGCTGTTATTCCGGCTAGCTGTTATCCTCCGATACCCCGAACGAGTTTTGTGGATTAAAAAACTACACTGGACTTCTTGTCCGCATGAGGGTCAGTAAGTACTGTCTGTATTTTCATTCTAAAGTGGCCATTTCCTTTAACTTCAGCCATGCTAGCAGCAGGGCTCTGAGGAGAGCAGTGTGGTCAGCTGGTCGACCCACCAACCTGGTCCAGACTGAAATAGCTCAACAATTATTTAAAGGATTGAGATGAAATTTGGTACATATATTCAAAGTCCTCAGAGGATGAATCCTAATTGTTTTGGTGATCATCTGACTTTATATCTAGCACCACCAGCAGATCAAAAATTACACGTATCCAGTAACATGTCTCAAAATCTACCCCATGGATTGGCACAACATTTTGTATACAGACATTCCCAGATGATATGTCCTGATGATTTTGCTGATCCCCCCGACTTTTCTCGCCTTATCTCAGTGTACTTTACCTTTAGTGCAGTGAATATTACCATGCTGATATGCTAAGTTATGGTGGTGAGCAATGTAAACATTACACCTAAGAATCATACACTCTACAAATCAGGCTTTCAGTGGGGCTTTAATTAGACAAAAACTTTTGATTGAAACAAAGTTGTCAGATTATGTTGAAATACAGTGTATCCTTTCCTTGATAGAATATAAAGGCAGTTTTGCTATTATTTGATAGATCATAGTTTGGGAATCCACAGAGAAGAGCTAACTAAACTACAGGACACCAAGTTTACACAGCGGTGATCAAACCCTGATATAACTAACAGCTACAGTTATTTTTACCATCACATATATAGATGTACTTACCTAGTGACAGCTGAATCTGTGTGTAGTTCGCAGCAGTCCACTGTGGGTCTGAACCACACCAGTATGTCCCAGCATCCCCTGCTCTCAGCTCCGTGATCAGCACCGTGAAAGAGCTGGAAGGAACGTCATCTTGCAGCGTGAACCTGCTCTGACTTGTCACCATGTCTGTACAGTTGTTGCGGTGGTCTCCCTTACAGAGGAACTTCCTGTTATGCCTATGTTGTGGTGGATATGGACACTGCATAGTTCCGGGTTGGCCCACAATGCCTCTCAGTTTGTTCGACTTCACGCAGCACCATTCTGTCAAACAGAAGGAGGTGTTAATCAACACTGCAGCCTGTAATCAGCTCAAGTTAGAAACGTATGTGCATGATCACACTGATGTTGTTTCAGAAACCTTTTGCAATATTTTTCTTAAAATCTATTTTATAGATTTTGTTTGTCCCGGACAATTTAGAGGTTTATTAAAACATGATGAGGTATATCTCTCACCTTTGACCTCGAGCTCAAATGCAGAGAAAACATCCAGGCCAGGGTTCACACGGACACCACAAAGGTACGACCCAGAATTCTTTTGGGTCAGCTTGGTAATGATCACTGTGAATTTCTCCAACATCATGTCATCTGTAAATCTGAACTGTCCATTTTGTTTGTTGTCAGAGGTGATTACGGCACTCTCCAGACATGTGGAGGTTTGGTTTCCTCTGCAGACGTACTTAAGATTGTTCTGGTATTTAGACTCATACAGACAACTGATGGACACTGAACTCTCTTCATAGCTTTGGGTTTTGGTTGAATGATCACAACAGCTATCTGTGGTAAAATGAACATCACAGACTGTTACAACAGCAGATGTAAGTATTCAGATTACTGCTCTAGATAAGTAATAAAATATTGACTCTTACTCTACAATGCAGACATTTAGGACTGGTGTTTATTTATTTATTTTTCACGTACCTCGTCCTACTTCCAGCTTCACTTCAGTGTAGAGATCCTTACCAGTCCTTGTCACCCCACACCAGTATTTCCCAGCATCTGTACGACTTAGATCGGAGATGGTCGCTATGAAGACTTGTCTGTGTTTATCATCATAGATGGAGTATCTGTGCTTCTTTGCTTCTGTTGTCGTAATAAGAACATCACTGTCGCCACAGTCATTCTTGCACAGGTACTTCTCGTAAGATTCATAACCCTGTCCGTACCGACAAGAAACATTAACTTCACCCCCTTCATATCCAGACACATGGATCAACCCTGCTGCATGCCTCACACAGCTGAGAGCAACTGTATAAAGAAAAAAACATGAAATGTAATCACAACTTCTTTCTACAAATTTACATGTTTTTTTTCAATTTTAGCTTCTTATCAGATTATTGAATATATAAAGTATGTATATTTGAATCTGTTGTGATGTCTGTGACATCATGTTTATTTTATGCGCAGTGTTACAGTTGTATAATGAAATTACAAAGACCAATATCAAGGTGTATTCTTCCACATTGTATTTGCAGAAAAACATACATTACACACATTTACTAATTTAAACAAAATAACTTACTGCACAGGGTGATCAGCAGGCTCTTAAGGCTCCACATCCTCATGTTACTGCAGCCTAGTTTTGAAGAAATGGAAACTACAAAAGACGTGTGTCCAATATAGAAAATGCTACACCCCCCATATCTGTCAGCATGCCATGCAAGCTCTCTCACTTCCTCATTTAGATTTATAAAGTTTATCAACCTTAGACTGTCACAGTTACATCTGTTAAAAGAGGAAAGGTATGTGACTGATCTAATGTCGGTGAAACTGATAGAGTGGTACAAAAGAAACAGACTTACTTTTACTCAAATCAGGGGTGGGTATGATTTCATTTTTGAATAAAGTACAAACAGTTCCTTTTGGTTTTAGAGTTATTTAGAGAGGTGTATTTGCATAGGAGTTCAATCAAGTGTTCACACTGACACCACAGAGGGGCGCTCTATCCAACCTTATACCTCCAAGATGCACAGTGCATGAATGTAACTGTGCAGTGTCTAACATTTAATCCTAATATAAAATCTGCCCAGTGTTTAAATTAATAAACACGTTGTCTTGGACAGATATATTTTCACAATGTTTGCTTCTTTTTTTGAGCATTTTTCTTTTTTAAATTTTGAGCACTTACTCCTATTACCAGCATGTCGCTCTGAAATGAGAGATTCACACGTCTGCATTATAATACAGAAGAATAAAGTGGTGACCATCTTCTTTTTTCAAAATTAAATAATCAACTGATGCAGACTCAAATAAATGTAAATGAAAATCAGAATAAATTAAATCTATTTTTCAGAAGGTTCTCAAAATGTAAAAGTAGCCTATAAAACACACTAAATATTAATAACTTGTAGTTGTTATTTTACCTGTGTAGCTGTCATATCCCTCAGTAGGGCTGTAAACCTTTAATTTCTGATATCAACTACTAACGATGATCCAACATAACATCACACCAACTCTACACAAGATAGATTTATTCAAGTATTAAAGACTTTTGTCATTAAGAAACCTGTTGACACTCTCACAGTAGTAGTGTGAAAACTTGATTATGCTAACAGAATAATTATAGTCTCTTTCAGTGTAAATTTAACTGTGAGAAACAATGCAAGCTCTAAAATAATAATACTGTTAACAATACCATGAAATTAAAAGTAACTTAATTTTTAAGCAGTGTTTTACTTTATATGAATACATTTTAAAGGGGTGCATTAAAAAAATAATATTTGTAATTTTATTTACTAATGTGTTTGAGTTATAGGCGACTGTCAACAGATGGATAAAAAAAGAACAGTAAAAATGGAGGCAGAGATATTCTCACTTTTAGTCCCTGTAGAGTGCTGCAGGAATGAGTCCCAGATAAGAGATAGCATCTCACCACTCCTGGTTCCCTCATCTTAAAGTCAGTGGGTTTTTGGTTAGCTGCCTGAAATAAGGTCTGTAATTAACACAAGCTTAAGAGACTTTTAAGTTTTGTTCTACGACATAAAATTCATCAGTAAAAACGTCCCAGTCTCACTCCGAAGTCTCAAAATTCAGCGCTTAGGGAGTGACTTGTGGCGTCAGACACAGACGAAAAAAGCTGTCCTTTAATGTCAGCATGATACACAGCTGGTTGCTGTTATAGTTTACCAGTGCCTGGAAGCGTCAGGGGAACATGGCAGGACAAGAACGAAAGTCAAGGTAGCGAAAGTCCAAGTTGAGCGGGCTGGAGGAGTGGTAGATGGGTCCAACAAACCCAAACCCTCCGGTGTTTGCGTCCCTTAAGGTTATTAAGCCAAACCAAGCTCTTTTTTCTTAAACCTAACCACGTACTTTTGCAGCCTAAACCCAACCACATGTTTGTTGTTGAAAGAAAAAAGAACATCAATGTGTGGTGTTATACCGACGTAGTGCGATTATTTTGAGTGACTGTAAGTGTTAAATTTCCTGTGACAATGAGAGTGAAGTGTGAAAGAAGACAATGCATGTAACAGGCAGAACTTGACATGGCCTCCCAGAACTTCAACAACCAACGCACCCAGGGTACCTTGCACATTGTATCTGGACTTGAAAAGTCCATGACCAAACGTCAATATGTGGCAGGGTTGGAAACAGAATGTGTTGGTAAACACTAGGGAATTTTAAAGCTTTTAGGTGTCTTAAATAAGGTGGTTGCTATCAGGTGGCTAAGTGAGACTTTAGAAAGTCATCATGCCGAACATGCTTACAGCCTTGTTGTGGTGGTGATGTCAGGACGTGCAACTGCATAGTTTGTTTGTAGCCTAGCATTAGCTTTTTACTTCTGGTGATTTTATTTATACCTCAAAAAATCATAAATCATATTGTTTGATTATTTTCAGCAATAATCCTAAATCCCTAATAGCTTTTTTTAAGGGAACCAGGGCCACATTAACTTGTGCATCTGCCTACAAAAAAACAACATCCCTGCACTGTGCTATATGTCAAGCTCCAAAAGTGCTAGATCCTACATTTCCCATAATGCAACCAATAGTATCTCTCAATCCACCCTTTCCTTCTGCTGAAAGCCCATTTAGTAACACAGGCATTCTGTTGCAAATGTGTTGTCTTTAAATTCAAGTCGAGGTGACCCTGATGACATCACTGTGTCATCTGGGTTTTTTTCCACGTCAAACTTGACAAAGCTCCAGAGACACATGCTGTAAGACAACTGTACTCGCGGGTTGAGTCACAGTCCTTGTGATGAGTAACCTGATCTTCATTTATAAAATCATTGGAGTGCCTCTTCAACACCCAAGAGGGAGACAAAAAACATTCCTTCATATTTTCATCCACACACTCTGTACTCTTTCATAATATGCAGCCAATCGTTTTGTAAAATTACTTTTTGAGTAACAGCATCAATAAAAGTAATTTAAAGCAGCTGTGCGGAACTTTTTACCATTTATAAAACTGTCCCTAGTTCGTATCACCCCCCCTTGAAGATCCGCATATTTATTTGAACCCAACAGCGACAAAAAAGCCTTTCTCTATATGGCTATTTAGCGTAGCCTCGGTCGGGTCGGACACAGCTGAAGTCAGCAAACCAGAATACGGTACCTGGAGGCGGAAGTAAGTCTACACGCCTGCAGTGGCCTGCAGCCATTAAACCACAGAAGAAGAAGGAGCCGTGTTTATGAGTAGGATTTAAGAAACAGGTTAAAGGACATGTAGTAGGGAGTAGTGAATGATTTCGGACACATTGCACACTCTTGTACAGTAGGTGGTGGTATGCACCTGGAAGTTGTTTGCGATCCGCCAATAAACTGAGAGAAGAAGAAGAGCCGTGTTTACAGAGAGTGTTCTTTGAGTAAGCGGTATGCAACGGGCATTGCTGAACACATAACAGTTTTACCAGATGTATCTATAAGGACTTGGCTGTACTTTCGATGTCATGGTGGATAAAGAAGGAGCACCATCTAAAAGTTAAAGAACAGAAGAACAGAAGAAGGCTAAACGGGACAGTGACAGGGCTCGAGCCCAAACGCATGTAAACCTCGGTCGGGCATTTGCCAAGTGGAGAGAGCTGAGAGATTTGAAAGGTTTTAAAACTGATCCCGAGTTGGCCCTTTTCCTAATCGACAGGTATGCAATTTTTGTTTTCATTTAGAGAATAAACCGCAACTTGTTAGACGTTGTTTCACTTCAATATATGACGACATGGAAGTTATAAGCAAGCTAAATGTAGCGTTAGCTGATGTGAACCGCTTTTGTCTAGTAACGTTACAACAAACGCCACAAAATTATCTGTGCCTGTGACCATGAACACAAATATACAGCAGGCAGTTGTCCTCAGTTTATAAGAAATTCAGAGCTACACCAGAACATTTATGATTTTCCTCTCGCTCTCCAAAACAAATGCATGCGGTAATTGCCGGTTGCAGTCGAGATTTTATGAATGAAGCTGAAAGCTGCAGTCGGAATTTTACAACACCAGGCTGTGGGTGTCGTACCGCTTTGACCAAAAGGGGCGCTATAATCAACGAAAAGGGAAAGTTCCACACAGCTGCTTTAAATACAAAACAAATTCATTTAAAATTTGATTTATATGTTCATCATTTATTAAAATTATTAATGTGCACCTATAATGATCATTTAATCATATTTTAAATAGTGTTTCTGACATTACTGAGGCACTGAAAACTATATATATATTTAGTCACTTAATAAAAGACAGAAACACTGAATATGTCCATAATTATTACAGTGACACATACAATGGTATACAATAAAACGAATGCAAGTTAAAATCTCTCTATTTCTGAACTACAAGTGCATCAGGACAGCTTCATCAAATGCCTTTTTTTCTTTTCTTTTTTTTACTATGGACCCCCTGTAGAAACCAGACATACCTTGCAACCTAAATTATTCTGCCACAGTTTAAATCTACCGACCCCACCCTGTCCAGCACATTATAAAATGCCAGTGGTGGTATATGTGGGTGAAAGCGTGCATGTATTTTCCCTGAGCTCAGCCATTCCCTGGACTCCAGCTGACCGCTCAGCTGTGCCTCTCGCATACTGCAGCACAAACTGTTTCCATACCTCGCACACTCTCACACCGAAAGGTTAACATTAAGACCCCCGTGCGGAGGGATAAGTGTGTCCCGAATTAGCGAGGATGCCAAGGCGAGCTGGGCTGTTGCCAGGTTGGGCCTGCCAAGGAGTGTTGGGTGTTGCTACAGTGGGTTGGGTTTCTGCCGTGTGGCCTGTTTGCATGTCGGCAGTGTGCAGGACGCGTGTGTTGTGGTCTTCTCAAACTACCCAAGACAAACACACACACACACACACACACACACACACACACACACACACACACACACACACACACTCAGTATGAGGGGTGTGCTGTTATATATAGGTGACCCTCTCAAGTCTTAAGGGTCTATCTTAAGCCTTCAAGGCATGTGATAATGTCTCCCTCTGCGACTTACTCTCCAGCCTTCACTTATTCATTCAGGGTAAGCTTTATCAGAAAATAATTTCACCTCGCCAAATTCATGGTTACATCTACTACATCCTCCCTGCCCGTGTAACAGTTGTATTGTGGGAAGCTGTGTGTCTGAACACGACAAGTTCAGATATTTATTTAATGGGTACAACTTTAACTTAAATGAAAATTATGCATGTCAGGAATAAGGAATGGTTGTTTTTACTCTGTAGTACAGCACACATGGTTTGTCTCTGCAGATGGAGGTGTGTGTGTGTGTGTGTGTGTGTGTGTGTGTGTGTGTGTGTGTGTGTGGGAGGAGACATTCCATCCATTCTTGCTCTTCCTGAGGAAAGAGCGAAAGCATCACACACGCACAACTGCTGACAGCAGGCAGAGGGAGAGGTGCACATACACCCCTCTAAGGTCACTCACACATCCGCCTCTTCTTTTCGGCTCTCCACCCGTCAAACTCTAACAGTCTCAAATATGTATTCCTCTGACAGTAGTTTTAATTTTGACAGCTGTAAATGCCTCCATGGAAAAACAAGGATGTTAGTCTGAGTTGCATTTGTACAGAGCCCCTAAAGTCCTGAAAGATAATATTTTTTTATCTTGTGCGCACAAGATAAAAACTAGAATTACCACCTTGCAAGCTGCAGTTGCAGTTTACATCCATGTCTGTGAAAACACGGATGCTTCACACACATCTTCCCCCAGCAGCACAGAAGATCTATCAGCATAGTTTTAAGGTGAGCACCCAAGATTAGAGTCACTAATTCAGTATCTGACCAAATGTATTCCTTTCTGTTCCTGAGATATGACACTGAATAATGGCCAGAGAAGTGTTTGTGCAAAACATCATGATGTCACAGTGACCTTTGACCTTTTGGATGTAAAATGTCATAACTTCATCTTTTTATCCTGTAGACTTTATGTGAAATTGTGTCATAATTTGCGAATGAATTCTTGAGTTATGGCCAAAAATATGTTTTGTAAGGTCACAGTGAGCTTTGATCACCAAATTCTAATCGGTTAATTTTTGTCTCAAGGTGGATGTTTGTGCCAAATTTGAAGAAATTCCCTCAAGGTGTTTTTAGGATATCACGTACACGAGAATGGGACGGATAACCTGAAAACATCGCCGGTGCAGAGGCATAAAAATATCAACTTATAGGACTTTAAGGGCTCCATACATTTGTGCTCATAATTTAAGTCTGAGTGATGGTTCAGGCCACAGGAGTCTGCGCTCATGAAACTCGAGGGTAAAAAGACATGAGCACATTAGCTATTGAAATGGACCTGGTTGGCTATGTTGGAAATTATAATTGCTTCTCTTGTTTTCATCTCTCTCAGTTGTGAATGTATGAACACGCACAGGCATAGAGGATGCCAACCAGAACGGTGGCTCCTCAAAGCTCCACAGGGGGTAGCTACGCCAGCACTGACGCACTGCTGCTCTCCCGCCAACCAATGGTCACTGAACACACATAATGGTTTTTTCTTTTGGGTAGTTACGTGAATAATATCTCTTTGTTTGCAGCAGAGCAGGCTGGTAACTTCTGCGCTTTCATTCTTTAGTCATACTATTAACTTCACTTGCCATCTGCTTTTAATTATCTGCACCACACTGAGCCCCAGTGTGTTTTACAGTACGAGACACACAGGGACAGGTCTGTTCATAAAATATCAGGACATACAGACTCACTACGCACAGATAAATGGATGGATCAAACGTATACCTTTCAACAGAGAGACAAGGATGGCTTATTTTATTTTTTGTAAATGTATAGACCCTCTGAACTCATTAGCAAAACACACTCACACACTAAGAACATAAAGACTCACAGAGCTGCATACTGTACACTTCTGTCAGAAGACTCCTAAATTTTACAGAAAGCTTTTTACAAAGCAAACATTCATTTCAAGAATGATCACACAAGCAGTATCGTCATGGGAATAAAAACTTTAACCAGTTAGGCACAAAATTAATTTAAGCTCATCATTCATTCATTGGCTGTCTCACTCATGCACAAACATATTTACACATACAGTATGCATGTACAGTCAAATGGAGACATTTTAGTTTAGGTGACACATTGGCTACTAAAATGTCCAACTGTCTTTTCTGCTGCAAGGCAACAATAAGTTGCACAGCACTGAGAAGAGCCTGCAGGATTAGCCTTTAACAACAGCTGGGGGTCTGTAACTCTGTTCATCTCTCAGACAGGCTCAAAGATAATGTCACTCCATCCTCCAAATATTGGCATGTTCCTCTTTGTGTCTTCCACACTGGCTTTTTTGAGAAGCGCTCCACCCTGTTTTACCCACAACCATGAAGAGATCTCTCAGTCCGTGTCTATTTCACAGGGATTCGTTCCCACTTTCTGTGCTGCGACGTACAGCTTCAGGAAGTCCTTGTAGCGAGGTGCGCAGCCGAGCCAGGCTTCGCCAAAATGGATAGAGCCAGTCAAAAGGTACTCATCCCCTCCAGGATACACATTGCACTGTGTGGGAAAACTGATGCGTCCACCCCAGCCCCACCCTCTGGCTCCACCCCAGGCAAACACCCTGCTCTTCTGACGGAACAGCCGACTCAGAGTCACCACAACAGGGGAGTGATCGTTAGTACCTGACGCCACGCCTCGAAAGATGCCGCTACCAGCTACAGAGACAGGAACAGGAGAGACAGAGAGGAGATTAAGTCAATGAATTAAGGACAGCTGCAATAAAAGTGTGTAAATTAAAGCAGGACGATGTATTTGTTGAAAGTGGACATAACACAATCTTCCTGAATTTATAAAGATGACAACATATCCGTACTCAATTCCATACACTGAGGAGTTTTGCTGATACAGCCTTGCTATGTGTGTTATGACCTGTAGCTAACAGTGGCTAATGTTAGCAAACTTCAGATACTGTTGTGTAACTTAGTCAGTTCGCTGACTGTCTAACTTCACTTGTGTCACTGTTACACTAAGTTTTAGCTCATAGAGCGCTGCAGGGACAAAAATGAGTTAGCATTTTAGCACTCCCAGTTCCCTCGTCTTGAAATCAATGGGTTTTTGGTTAGATACCTTAAACTAGGCCTATGGTTGACAAAAGCTTAAGAGACTTATACATTTTATTCTACAACGTAAAATAAGTAACTAAGTAGGCTACCCCACTAGTTAATTTCAAATTTTTTCATGTCTTCCAAAAGGCAGTTAATAGCAAGTGGCTAAATGAGACCACAGAACATCATCACACTAAAAACAGCTTTAGAGCCTTGTTGTTTCGGTGACGTTAAGTCATGTGACCGTGGTGTAGTTCATTTATAGGCCCACGTTAGCTACAGTATTTATTTCTAGTGATTGCATTTATGCTTCATACATCATAAAAGTGATGTTCATAATCCAAAATTCAGTGGAAAAATCCCATTAGCTTTTTGATGAAGGAACCAGCGTGACACTAACTTCTGTGTCAGGATTAGCTTCAGCTCTCTATTCGATGACAAAGGATATCTTTAAGGAACTGACTCAAGAGAATCTTGGGAAATGTCAGAAAATTCAATGTGCCATTATCCTGTTTTGGCCACTGTTTAGTAAAAGTAAATTGACTTTCTTATCTAGAATTAAAGGAGAAGATACTGCTCTTTTGTCTGTACGGTAAATATGTAGCGTGAGGCAGTTAGCTTAGCATAAAGAATAAAAACTGTAGCTACTGTCTGCTGGTTGTCAAGAAACTGGTCCCAGCCAAGACACAGTTCACCACATAACACACCACATATCAGCAAATTGTTGTTTATACACTAGCTGTTTTCCCATTTTTTCAGTCTTAATGCTAAGCTAAGCTAACCAGCTGCTGGCTAGAGCTTAATATTTACCACACAAATATGAGAGTGGTATCAATCTTCTCATTTAACTCTTGGAAAGCAAGCAAATCACCATATTTCCAAAACTGAAACCAATCCCTTAAATGTTGATGTGTGCATTTCTGTGTATATACTTACCAAAGTCACTGGTGCACACAGCCATAAGGACCTCTTCATCTGAGCAGGGTTTACAGGTGACTAAAATTCAAAGACATCAGGAAAAAAAGCATTAAATACTTTAACATGGGAAACCACATAAGTCCTTATTTTCACGACTGATTTTCTTTCCTCTTTAGCTTTGCTATGATCCTGAGAGTTGTCTGACGCTCTGTCTGCTTCCTGCCCTCTCCTTTTCTCTGCATTAGTGGGTGTTTATGAGACAAAAGAGACATCAAGAGAGTAGTGAATGAGAACAGCAGGTGAGGGACGAGACGTAATCACAGAATTACCCCTTGACCCTGTCAGCTATAAAAACAGCTATAAAACGCCCAGGCACACAGACAGACAGGCTTGGACAGGCTTTCTTCTGTCTCATGAGGAGAGCAGTCTGGCCACTCCACTCCACCCACCGTCCCTCTTCCTCAGCAGTCCGCTTTACTCATATGGGTGGGCTACCCGAAAATCCCTGCTTATGGGGCACGGGTCTGCTCTTGATTGGCAGTTGAGAAATGATTGGCTGATCCTTGTGTTTGACCCTGACGTGACCTTTTGATTGCCCTGCTTGTTTTTGTAAGTCTGACTGAGACTAGGGAGTGTGGGAGTGTGGAAGTGGGGGAGGAGAGGGTGTCAGAGAGGAGCAGCACGTATGTAGGTGAGATGAAGAAACGGGTGAAACTGTAACATTGCCTTTTGTCACCTTCATTTTATGTCAGTGGGAGGACGGCTTGTGTGTGAGGAGTTTAACAGACCATTTTAACCAATTAAGTCAATTTAGAAAAAAACTGATAGTATGAAATCAGCTTAGTTGAGACAGTTAATCTGTCGCCATGAATATTTAGACTTATGTTTTTAGTTCTTCTGGTGATAAAGACATTGCAAGCATGAGCAGTTTTGGAAACATTTGCTTGTTGGTGTGTTTAAATCCACTAACACTCAACAAGTGTCCAGTTTGTAAGATATAAGGAATCTAGCGGTGAGGTTGCAGAACTGAAACATCTCCTATGGTCCAAGCGTTTAGGAGAACTACAGTGACACGAAAACACTAAGGGTCCTATCTAGAGCCAGGGTTTGATGTTTCCATTCTGGGCTACTGTGAGACACGATGGTGGACTCTGTGGAAAAGGACCAGCTCCGTAAGTGGATTTAAATGGCTCATTCTAGGGTAATGAAAACACAATAATTCTTATTTTCAAGTGAGTAATGAAAAACACATTAAAGAATATTACATCCAGTTTCTGCAAGTAGATGCACCTAACGGCCAGGCTCCACCGGGCACGTCAGCAGCGCGACACGTCTGCAGCGTGAGTCCTGTAGCAGCTCGCCCCCCTGTTAATCAATTACAGCGGCTCCACTGGCAACGGGAGCGGCGCAACAACCCCCGTCTGTCGCGCGACAACTCTCTATTTTATGCGGCTCTTCTATTTTTGACGCGCTGCTATCCGAGGTGATATGTGATGATTTTTTTTCATGCATTTACCCATGTTTATCCGTGACATTGTGTAAATGTCCGTGGCGGACATTTGAAAGCGAGTAGATGACAAACAGTACAGTAAACTTGTAGATAACTCAAATATATGTAATAACTTAGGTGGAAAATGCTTTAACATTTCATGCAGCCTACATGCAGCCTCTCGGCTCGGCAAACGGTAAACAACCCCGCTGGCTTTTCTATGTGTCGCTTCCGTACGCAGTCAGTGGAGCCCAAATGAATACGCCGCGACGCTACGCTGACGTGACGCTTACGTTTGCAGCCGGTGGAGCCTGGCCGTTAGTCCTACAAACTGGACCTTTAAGGAAAAGTAGGAATATCAATTTATACACATGCAGCATTTAAAGCAAAAGTCCTGCATTAAAAAATTAACTTAAATAAAAGTATATAAGCATTAGCAACAACTACTCAAAGTATCACATGAAAAAGTACTCATTATGCTGAATGGCCCTTATTAATTTTATATCAATATAGCACTGGATCATTATTATTGCTGTAAAAAATATGTAAGCAGTACATTCATCTTGCAGTTGGTCAAAGTGGAGCTAATTTCTACTATGTCATACTGTCAGGCTGTCTTGCATATGATGCATCACTGAGCTAATCATATGTTTTGTGTGTAAAATTATTTTAAAACTAGTAACTATAGCGGCCAGATAAATGTAGTAGAGTAAAAACTACAATATTTCCCTCTGAAATGAAGTGGTATAGAAGTATAAAGTTGCATAAATGGAAATATTCAAGTACAGTTCAAGCATCTTAAAGTCTGAATTAAGTACAGGACTTGAATAAATGTCATGTTGAAGTATGTTCTTCACACCACCCCCATTTGCTTTCAGTTTACCTTCGAGATGTGGTTTTCAAGAACAGGATTTAGAAACTGGATACATTTTCATAACAGTTCCTGCCCACAACTTCATTATGATGCAGAGGTAATTGGAAATTAGCTAAATGAAAACCTGTGGGTTTGGAAAATGGCTGTCAGTGCTACAAACAATCATCAGAGTCACCACTATGATTCAGCAGTGTGTCGCCTGTGATTTTGTACCAAGAGAAAATTAAAATTTGAATACTACTGTATGTTATAAACACATAAGCGACCAGTGAAACTGAATACTGTGATTTGAGCTTTTAAAAACTAGCATGAGGCAAGAAAAAGAAGATTTAGGATCTCTGTTCGCACAGAAAATCACAGGACAAAACTCACAATCTTGACACAACACAAAATTCCAGTACAAATAAGGCTGTATCTCTACATCCTACAGGAATGGGTGCATGCATTCTCTCACCTAAACCAGGGTGCAGGAATGGGTACATGTGCGCCCCGGGCCCCTGACTGGGCACCAGCTCGTACTGGAAAGCTGTGATCCTCCGGCTGATGTCTGTCTGAGGGACAGCCTCCACAAAGAGAGCTCCCTCTGCCAGGCTGAAACAGTACACTGAGCCCTGAGCCTGGTCCTTCTCTGCCAGCAGCAGCCTCAGATCCCCGTTATGCTCCAGATACACATGAGAACCCTGAACATGGAGGATCCAGAGAGGAGGACACATGTAAGCTGCTTCTATCTGATACACCGCACTGCAGTTGTAGTACTCTGTTGTCATACTGTACCTGGGAGTAAGTGTAGGGTTTGACGCACACATGGAGACTCGCCATGTGTCCGGATGAGGCCTCTGTGTTTTGCCGCAGGTTGACAATGATGGCTCCTGTAGGGTAGAGCCACTCTAGAGACCCCTGAGAGCAGCGTAGGTAGACCTGCTCCACATCCCTGCGATGAGACTCATGGCTCAGACCACTGTGGATGAGAAGACATTTCTTATATCAGGCATCCAGAGTGAGGATGAACAAGATCAAATGCCAAAAATCCTTAAATGTCCAACAATAAGGAAACTTGGATTCAGAATTGTAGAGCCCCAAAAGTGACTCCTGTGAATTCATAAAAAAAAAAATCTATAATGACATGCTGGAAAAAGAGAGTTAAAGACACACATGGAAGGGATTTAATGATATTGCAACATTCATTAAGAGCAACTCTGCTGCAGCTGTCTGCCAACAAATCCTTCACAGTTTGGACGTATGCGGTCGCTTGGCTCTGATGTGCATAAGCTACCTCAACACCAGGAACTAAACGGGCTATTAAGTCGTTGCAAGTCTGAGGCCGGCAAACTTTACAACACAGTGCAGAGTGCAGGCTTTCATATTTTATGACTCAGGGACTTGGAGGAGTGATCAAAGAGGCCATATAGCTGTATTTACTTAAGATAGGAAGTGAAGCAGAGACACTCCTCTGATCAGAAGTACTTTTCCAAAATCTTAAAGGGAGTCTCTGACTAATTAAAGCAACTCCTGTTCATGAATAACTGGTTTTCACTATTCATGAGTCACTTTCCTTTCTGAGAAGAGTGATTGTGTAAGAAGATTTTAATAAAGATATTCATGAGTTACTGAGATCTGCATCACAAAATGTCAGAGTAGTAACCATAAGCAATGGCACATATGACTAAAACATCCTTAACTGGTTTCCATTGCGGATCTGCACCAGAATTTGACAGTAACATATTTTACTCTGACCTCCCAGTGTCCTTCCTGGAGATTAAATTAAATCTTAATCAAACATCCATGCGTCTAATTACTGCTTTGAGTCTGGTGAAGACCTCAGTAATGCACAACAGAGTCACTTCAAAGACACAGCCTGCCTCACACACACGACTCAAGTTCCTTTCATGACTCCCCTGCATTTCCAGAATTTAAGATCCATGGATTAAAGTCAAAAGTACATGAAAGTGGGAGCTCAAAAACAAGAAGGAATAGCTATATTTCCTTATGGAGTTCTATAAGAAGATGCTGATAACATTCCTGAGTTGTGTGCTGTGTTTTCTTTGTCAGCTATAACCACTGATATCTGCTCCTAAATTGAGGTTATCACCTCAATCCTTTATCCATCTTCCTCACCTTCCTCTCCAGCTGCACTGGTCGCTGGAGTACTGTGCCACCGCCCGACACAGGAGCACAGCTGTGATCCAGTGCACAGCCCACGGCCGGAGCATGGTGGCCCGTCCGCCCCGGCGGTCACCGAATCTCCCCGCACAGCAGACCAGCAAGCCGCGCGCTCTGCTGCACCCGAACCGCAAGGTCCCGTAAAAAAAAATCCCCCGGAGCTCCTCAGCGCACGCACACACGCTACATGGCGGGTTCAGCCGAGGCGAAGGCAGATTAACATTTTGATACCAAGTTTGTAAAGAGAAGCAGAGAGCGCGCGCAGCAGGACAACAGGCTGTTTAAAAACACTTTGGCTCCGTGCGCTCCGCTTCACGTCACCGGGGGCGCGTGCCAGCTGCTGACTCCGCTTGAGTGACACGCGAGCGCTCGCTCCAAACCACGCCTACACATCCCCCCTGGAAGATATGTGTAGAGGAGGACTTCGAGCTCTTGTTGCAGCATGAGAAATAGGCTATCATCAAACTTTTACACAAATTAAACTGGACCTACAAACTGGTGTTGCGCATCCAGCAGAGCTCGTGATACTCTTTATGAGTGAATAGAATAACGTTTTTGAAACTAAAAACAAAAGAAACTTGGTCCACAAATGGACATCTGCACACATAAAAAGCGCTTTCAAGTAAAAACAAATCTGGAAACACATGTATAACAAAATACAGAAGCCAAATGACCTGCTTTTAAAACATTTGTCCTGTACCAGCTCCTGGTAACTCATTCCGGTCTGAAGATGCCAGAGAGAAGTACAAGCCCGTGTGTGTGTGTGTGTGTGTGTGTGTTGTGCGTGCTTTATTAACAGATGGATCATATTATCGCGGTGAAAATGAGAGCAGCATGCAAGTCTGGATCAGCAGCACTCTCCCAAATACTCACCAAAACCTCCACAGTCACTGCCAGACCCTTCAACACTGCAAAGATACTCATGCATAGGAGTATGATTTTTTAAAAGTATGACTTTATGCTCTGCAGCCTACTTTAATGGAAGTATATAACTAATATCCCTGCGTTATTATTCTTTCATTAATCGTCCTCCTTGGCAACAGAGAGGCTCTGACGTAACAAGAAGTCACACATGTGCTCTAAACGCCTGTTTGAGTCTCAGGGCGGTTTTCCCGTGAGAAAACAGTTGGAACAGCAAGCATGTTACCGACTCGTCACATTCCCCCACACAGCCTGAGCTATGTAACACATTTCGAGAAATGCCGAAACACAGACTCCATTACACACCTCCACCCTCCTCCTCCTCCATACTCACACACACTCACACACACAATCTTACTATGCCTCTGTGGAAATGGGAATTTCCAATATTGTTACTGTTATCAGTCTATCAGGACTCATTTAAAGAGTTATTCATTTTATTTTATACAGATTGCATTTTACAGTATAAATCAAATATTCATCTTTCACTTCCCTCTTTGATTGTTACTGATGATGCTGTGCTAGGAGCCAAATGAAAGCAACAACCAGGCTCAACTACACTAAACAAATGGAAACTGAATTAAAATTAAGTTCAACTTTCTAATAAGACATAAAAGGCTTATAGATTGTAACTAATGGCTTTATTCATAATAATAAATAATTTGCTAATGCTGGATCAATCATATGCCTTTGATTAGGACAGCATTTGGGTCACCAGGCTGGGAAGATCCCTTAGATTACCAACATCAAAACTGCATCACTACCTTGTAGGTAGATGGGTAATTTATGAGGAGGACATGGTTATACTCTTCTGTATATTCCAATGGCTTTTTTGGCTGATCGGTGGTATACAGAAAACAGCCAGAAAGAGAGGTAGGTATAGCCCGTACACCTGCATATACCCTCCACTACCAAATAAAGGATAAAGACCAGCTAAATAACACATAACCACAGACTTTATCTTTATTTCAGGTATATGTAACAGGGTCAATTATACAGTCACCTTTGGGTGTACCCCACCTTTAAAGGGGTGTTTCCCGCCTTGCCTCTCCCCATTTTGCTGTTGTACTCCATGGGAGAGGTAAGCGACATCGCTCTTGTAGTAAGTTCCGTGTTTTAGCACTGTTAAGCTGTTTATAAGTTAATTTCTCAGCCTAAACTTATTGTATAGGGCCTTGCATTATATGGTCGTAATTGATGGAGGATTTTGTTTTTACCTTTTGCTGTCATGTATGTTTCCTTTTTTTGTTGTTGTTGTACTTAACTGAATGTAACATGGCCACCCTTTTGCTCTCTGATTGGTCTGAGATAATTAAGATGGGCAGGACAGAGATTCAAAAAACCACTGGCCCAAAACCTTTCAAGGTAAGCCATGTAGCACTTTGATTAGGAGATAGGAGTACTACAGCTCAAATAATGAGGGTAACGATAAAAGTGATTGTAGGATGTTGTATTGCATTAACTGTTTGATTTATAGAAATATTTCCACAATACATTTTACTCGTTATTAGGAAAAGGGTTTTGAAAGAGCGCTTAATGCTTTCAAGTAAAAATTTAGCTAAAATGGGAAATTTTTTTTAAAGTAAACCAGAATGTTTTAGGCCACAAAGTGCCATAGAACCATGACTTAGGCTGCTGTGTGCCACTCTGTGACAGTACAGACATTTTTTGGGTCACTTAAAAAATAATGAAGATCTATAAAGTAAGCTCTTGTGAAAGTCTTCAGAATTTTAGGTGTTTGTCTTGGTAACGTACCAAAAAGTATCCAAAATCACCTGATTTCGCCCTGTATAAAAGCATCAGCATATGATTTGTTAACCATGGATAAAGCCATTTGTTGCTTATAAACTTAATAAAAGATAATGTCTTAGAGATCAGTAGCAAAATGATGTCTGACTTACACACATGTATCCAGGGCACATTACACAGCGCCCCAGGAATGAATCCTTAAACCTGGAAATGAGTAAGCATTTCCACTCCTGGTTCCCTCGTCTCAAAGTCAGTGGGTTATTGGTTAGATACCTGAAATAAGGTCCGTGGTTAACACAAGCTTAAAAGACTTTTACATTTTATCACGACATAAAATACGCCAGTGAATACCCCACTCGTAAATTTTGAAACTTATGTGTCTTAAAAAGGCGGAGTTGCTAACAAGAGGCTAAATGAGACTACAGACTGTCATCATGCCTAATCGTGTTTGGCGGTGGTGATGTTAGGTCACGCATGGTGTTGTTTGTTTGTAGCCTGACTTTAGGTTTTTACTTCTGGTGATTGTAATTAGGCTTTAAAAAAATGTAAAAGTAGTTTACATTTCTGAAGAACAAAACATGTAAGTAGCCTATCATAAACGTCTGTTTGCCATAAAGCTTATTTTCTGCAGTCATCCAAAATGTAATGGAAAAATCTAATTTGCTTTTTTCAGAGGGAGCCAGGACTATGCTAACTTCCCCCTACTGAATGACCTGAGAGGTGATTTTCTACACTTCCCTCTGTCTCTCTGCACAAAGCATAACACATCTGTATCACTGTACCACCAACACATTTCTCCCTCCAAGTCCCCAGATTTAAAAAATTTACCACAAACACGTCTGAAGCCCAGACACCAGCGACCGCAGAGGGAGTCTGACCTGAGTCTAATCCTGTCACCGTACCAAAGGAAGTCTGAGCTGCTGATGTGCTGTTTGACCTCATGTGCTCCTTCGCCATGTGAAGTATTTACAGAGCAGCAGAGCCTCTGACCTGCTCCCCTTATGCCCCCCTGCTGTCACCTGGCTCCTCTCAAGCGACCTGACAGGAGGAACACTCTGTCTGTCCACACACTGCTTCCTCAAGGAGCCACACATTCCTCTATCTCTGATTACAATCTTCAAGACCTTTATTTCCTCATTACTTGTAAATTACCCATAGGGGCTAAATGAGCATCTCTAGTGGATCTTTTGGTAGTGCCTTGCTCAGTGGGAGCTTCAGTAGTTGTTGAAACAGGGGTAGGAAAAACATCACACACTGCTCCTCTACAAAGGAAGAGAGCAGTAACTACAGAAGCAAAGAGCCTGACGGAGAAGTCTTCAGGCTGACCAGCTGACTGCTCACAGCAGAAAGGTGGCAACGCCTTTATTTTACACCTGCAACTGAACAAGACTTAAAATAACAGTGTGTTTTTAGTAGATCTTCAGGTGAAAACACAGTAATCTAGTACAATCACTTGCTAGTATTTGGTTTGCTCATTTTGCCCTACTGTAGAACAATTTTGACAAAATATGTCGTTATGAACTTTGGCTTTGTGGGGCAGCTTTAAGCAGGCATTTACACCAGTGACTTACTGGTTAAAAGACAGCCTCTCCTTTTCAGTGACACACACCACACACCATAAAGAGATGCTGAAACTAAGGAATGTGGTAAAGTTCCAGGTGAATAAAAACCCCTCAGTGTCTGACCTCTGTGAGCTCTCTTCACCCAAACACACCCGTCTCCTATCTCTTTCTCTTATCACTGCCAGAAAACACACAGCTGTGTAAGTGCATATTTGTGTGTGTGTGCATTTTCTCTATACACGTGCAGGTTTATTTGACCAGCGAGGGCAAGCAGGCTCCAGGGTCAGGGTCATTCATTGTGTGTGTGTGTGTTATCAGGTCTGATGTCTACAGAGAGATGGAGTGTAAACACTGAGTAAAGCTCTGTTTACTCTTTTTCTGAGTCTCTTTCATAGATTCTCCATTAGAGCTCGCCCTGATCATCTACCAAGTGCTTTATCATGAGGGCAGAGTGGGTGAAGGAGACAGGATGTATTTAGACAGAGTGGGGTCTTACTAAACAAATCACTTTGGTTTGTTACATTATAAAATATATGGCGTCCATTTGGAGGACATTTATTCAGAGCACCTTATGGCTCCATGACTGCATACACTTTGGATATGAGTGGCTGCAAAGAACTTTCAAGCCTGCTGTTTCACCTGAGTATTTAGCCACAGGCATGGAGAGTGGAGATTATAAATCAGTAGGTGTTCATTAAAAAGACGGCAGTGCTTTGAGCTAAATGCTAACGTCAGCATGCTAAGATGCTCACAATGACAATGTTAACATGTTAATGTTTAGCAGGTATAATATTTATCATATTCAGCATCTGATTTTAGAGTGTTAGCATGCTAACACATGCTAATTAGCACTAAGCACAGTGCAACTGAGGCTCATGGGACTGTCAGCAGGTACTGGGTCATAAAATAAGTCATTCTAGTAGGTGTTGACATTTTTAGCAAGATAATGGTTAACATGGTGGTGACACTAAAGGATCACCAAAGTCATTAAGCTTCATCCTCTGGGGAACATGAATGTCTGTAAAAAAAATTCATGGGAATCTATCCAGTAGTTGTTGACATGTTTCAGTCTGGACCAAAGTGGTGGACCAGCTGGGTTTCCATCCAAATGTGGTGCAAATTTTTAGAAAATCTGCAAAAGAATATGCCAATTTATTAGTTTTTCTGTTGTTTAATGCAAATATTGGTAGTTAGTTCCAGATAGGCCGTAGGTGGCAATAATTCTTCAGTTAGAGGCCTGCAGAAGAAGAAGCAGCAACGAGATGATTTAATAAAATGAGTGCTAGTCCTTTCAACCTTATATGAAGGAAAACAATGGATGTATAATAACAGAGAGCAGACTGGACAACTAAAATTACAGCTATGAAAGAGTTCTGGTAACAGCCCTATGTGCATGCACAGAAAGACACCCAGAGATGACGAAGAGAGCTTACAGTGGCCTGTGCAATGACGGTAATGTTACATCATCATTTATTAGCTGAATCTGTTTCCATTGCACTTAGTTGCATTTACCTTTAATCATACACCAACTTTTCCATCTTCCCCTAGCATGAAAAATGTTAAAAGTGTGCGTAAAATGGATGTGGATGGAAACACATCTATTGCCAACACATTCTCACTACGACCTCGTCACATATTGACCTTGGTCATGGACTTTCCACGTCCTCATGCGTCGTGCAAGGTACCCTGGTTGTGTTGTTTGTTGAAGTTTTGGGACACCATGTCAAGTTCTGCCTGTTACATGCATCGTCTTCTTTCAAAATACACTTCCATTTTCACAGGAAATTTACTGTTTACATACAGCCTCTTTCAAAATAAACAGACATTGGAACAACAACGCAAATTACTTCTTTTTCCTTCAACAACAAACGCATGTTGCTGGCTTTAGGCAACAAAAGCATGGTTAGGTTCAGGAAAAAAGAACAGGGTTTGGCTTTAGAATCTTACGGGACGTGAACACCGCTCTCTTGGGTGAAAGTCAGTGTTTGTTGCATCCCCCTGACGCCGCCGGGCGCTGTTAAACTGTAACAGCAACCGGCCGCGCATCATGCCAACGTTTACGGAAGCCTTTTTTCATTGGTTTCTTACGCTGCAAGTCACTTCCCAAGCACCGGATTTCAACAGAGACCAGGCTCCTACTGCCATACTATGTAGATGCCATCTCGCGCCTGCCAGCATGGATAAAAAGTGAAACAGCAAAACAAACAAAAAGTTACAGATTAAAACAGATGTGTGTCCAAAAAAGTTGAAATCCTGCAAATGTAGACAAACATGTAGTAGATTCGTTGACAGAAAATTAATCAACATGGTTTTTGTCATTTAAGTCATTTTTTAAGAAAAAACTGCAGATTATTTCCTGGTTTCGAGCTTAATTTGCTGCTTTCTTTGCTGTAAGTGACAGTTAACTTAATATCTTTGGGTTTTAGACTGTTGGTAAAACAAAACAAGCGATCTGAATGTGTCAGCTTGGGATTAAGAATGTAATGAGCATTTTATGTTATTGTCTGCTTTTTTATCGACAAAACATGTAAACAAATTAAACATCTGAATTAATTCTTACTGAAAATAATCATTACTTGCCGCCCTATTAGATTCACATCACTGAGGAACTGAGGAAGACACCGTCTTGTGACAGTGTTTGTGTGCAGGAGCACAGGAGGAAGAGGGGTCCAGTTGGTGACTGGGTGCTGAGTGGATGTGATATTTTTCTCAGCCCCTACACAGCAGTGTACTGTGGGTGGCAGGAGCCTGGGATTTCCACCTCAAACCCCACACTGAATCAGACTCAAACAGTCCTGCAATTTATCAAAAAATGAATTCAAGCCTAACTTCTAATCTGGCACAGTGAGTCTGTGCATTCGCACCACCGTGCAACTGTCAGTGATAACAAACAAAGGTGGTTAAAATAAAGCTTCGGCAGAGTTCAAGACCCCTCCAGTTGTTTTACCGCCTCTGCTGCCTCCCTACAAACTGCTGCGGACAGATTTACAGTAAGGCAGACCACGTCGTCGACCCAGGAAACACCGGGGGAGATTTTGTGGGGAAAGGTCTGTTTACCTTTGGGCAGAAAAACTCCACAGTCTGTGAGGTAAAATAAACTTTTTGTGTGTGTTTATGTATTATAACTGAAGCTCTCTTAAAGAGGTTATTGTTCTTTAGATTTCATAAGAGACCAAGAGAAAGGAAAACAAATTCGTGCAGTGTCCATGTTTGTACATTTGTAGCAGCTGTGTGATTTTGCACGGTTGCACCAGAGAAGGTTGTTGAGAAATCAGTGATTTTGGTCATAAAGCATCCCACCCTTTATAAGTGAAACCTTCTGCAATGACATCCTGAGGCTGATCACTTCCTTTAACTTCAACACAACTCCAAGTGCACAGGTTGGCAAACCCAATCTCAGTCCACACAAGATTAGAAAACACAATAATAATTTATTCTTTCAATGGTAAACATCAGCAAGTCATGTCTTCTTACACGTCCTCCGAAGAGTGAAACATAAAGGCCTAATACTGTCTTCTTTCTCTTTCTATTACCAAATCATTCCTCCATTTTGTTTCTTATCATATCTTTCCACTCTAGGTCAAGTTATAGTTACTTCTATGAGCCTAAACATCCACGTTCCAGCTTTTAAAATGCATGGGTCGACATTTTGGGGAACATGCATGTTAGTCATTCTATTGTCCTTGTCCTTGTCTTGTAATTAGACAAGATGATCAATACCACTCTCATACCTGACAGCTAAATATGGAGCTACAGCCAGGATCTGGTTCGCTTAGCTTAGCATAAAGACTGAAAGCAGAGGAATATAAAGTAGTCCCAGTCTGAAGATAACATAACCAGCCTACAGTCTACTTTGTGGTTGATTGCTTAGTTTGAGAAAATTCTACAAAGGTGGCAAAAGGTAGGACTAGAGATTTCTTGGCTTGGGCTGACAAAGAGGTTGAACTGTTACTTAAATTAACATATGAGTATAAGGTAGTCAAGGCAGTGGAAATCATTGACTGGGAGTCGTTGCAAAGCAAATACATCGAGATATTAGAATAGTGCTGGGAGCAATATCCATCTCTGGAGGAAGCCACAGCAATGGGAAAGGAGCACCCATACAGAAAGGATAAAATCACAAAAGGCATGTAGACCTGGCTGTAATGTTTTGACTTCACAAGCTGTGACTGAAACGACCCAACTGGGAAGCAAACATAAATGTCTGTGTCATTGTTTCCAAAACTAAAACTCAGCCCCGGGGTTTTAAACTAAAACTGACTCAGCAGTGTTTTCAAAGGTCTCAGTTTTTGGGGCACCAAAACACCAGAGCAGCAGTAGTTATGTGTTTTATGACAAAATCGTAGTCGTGTGGATGCAGCCTGACTCTGTCCCAGTGTCCAGTCCCCTTTAGTCCTCTTATCACCTGCATGTCCCTCAGTTTGTGTGCATTCCTCTGAGCCTGTTAAAGCTGCACGGCTCCTCCTGTTGTCTCCATCCCTCTGAGCAGTCAGTTAAAATGGTAGTAATCTCTTCCTTCCTTCAGCTGCAAAGAGTTGAGGTTTTCCTCCAGGACGCCTCCTGTCATGTCCTACAGATCAAACAGTGTGAGGGAAACAACAGGAAGAGAGAACATGATGGAGGGTTAAAAAATACACAACAGAAGACATTATAAGATGAGGTATTGTTTGCCTCTTCCATTTGCTTTTTATTTTTAATAAAGGTCCTTGCTGTCTTCAGTGTTTTAACTGCGCTGAACTACAGTCAAAGGTTACACACAGGCTACAGAGATTGAGACTCGCCAACAGTAACTTAAACTATAGAAAATGTACAAATTGCATATTTGTTGATTATAGTTATTTGACATCTAGGTAGAAAAAACTTGTGTGATGGAGTCCAGGTGTGTGTGCGTGTGTGTGTGTGTGTGTGTGTGTGTGTGTGTGTGTGTGTGTGTTGCAGAGAACAAGAGAACGGGAATGATTGAATCCAGGTCTCCTTGTCCTCCAACTATGATTACTTCTCCCAATTCCCATAATTGAGCAATTAGTAGTCCCTGTAGGAGGGGTCACTCTGGATTTGACATCTAAATCTGGCTAGGTGATAAATAGGCGATTAGTGATTTTGCTGCCAGAACAGCAGTGTGTGTGTGTGTGTGTGTGTGTGTGACTGTATATTATAAAATGAGAACGTCATTATCTTCGGAAAGGCTTTGCAGCAGCTTTGAATATAGGCAGGATTTTGGAGTACAAAATGTACAAAACTTAACAGTGGCAAAAACATCAGATGTTTGCACAAGCATCATGTGATCAAAGATCAGGCTGCTGTCTCTACCCATTTCCTGGTTGCCCCCTCTGTGTGTGTGTGTGTGTGTGTGTGTTTTGTCCTGTGCCGGGCACACGCCCTCGATCATTATGTCGTTAACTTAGATTACAGACCTGAGGGACAGGCGGTCAGAGACAGCAAACATACAACATGCAAACACGTTTTCTGCTCACCAGTTTGACACAGATAATGAAGGGGGCGGAGGCAGCTTTGTAGTGCAGCACTGGGATTTTCGGCTTAGGTCTTTTCTGGAGGCATGTAAACAGAAATTGAGAGATAAACCACGTATTGTTGTTGGTCACAGCTTCATAGAAACTCTGTTCACTGGAATAAAGTGGTGTGGTGACCATTTGAAACACAGCTTATATCTTGCTTACACTGAGTCACAGTGAACGTTAGTATCGATCGACAGAGGCTGATCTCACCTTGGACTCCTCGTACGTGTAAAAGCCTTTCTGGATCTTGTTCTCGTCGACATCACAGAAAGCCTTCACCTGATAAATGAATCAGAATGGGAGTGAAAGCTCGCACACACTCGCATAACACACTTTGTCCACCAGCTCTGTGTGTCTCACATCGGACTCCATAGCTGGATGGAGCATACCTTCTCCTGATTAGCCGGACTCAGGCTTCGGTACAGCTTCCGGCCCTGTTTCCCGGCGTTCCATATGGTGAAGCTCTCCCATTGGCTGAGAACTCTCTCCTGCAGGAAATCTACTCGCAGCTTCCAAATGGTTTCCCTGGAAACAGAGGAGATGAGTAGGGGATAACAAAGGATGGACACAGAAGCAGGCAGTGCACACGCTTAAAATCAGGGATGCTGTCTGTCGGCTTAAGTCAAGATTGTTTGATTAATTTAGTGTGAAAACAATGTTTCATTATGTCTGAGAAAGATAAACTGACAAATATATAATGTATGTTCTGTTTAACATGCACTCATACCCAGGTTGTATTTTGCTCTCTAAGCTAACCCGGATGTCAGTGGAGTCTTAAACTAATCACATAATCACATACAGTAGGGGCAAATTTAAGAAAATTTTGGGAACTCTGTTTATTCTCCTACTTGCTAACAACCATGTAAGCACATGGCACATGGGCCACACTAAAAGATCAAAGTACACGTCAAATAAATTTTTCCCAAAGACGGCTTTTTAGGTAGTAATTATCAAGCTGATGTTTGTGAAGTGTTTTCTGTCATTTGATGCTACACAAAGAGGGTGTGACGTCATGACTGACAGCTGTGATTGGTTCGGATTGGTGTATGGGGCATGTCTCCACCCTCAATCACTACTGTGCAGACTTTGGCTCCAAATGACATCACCAGTGCCAGACAGCAGCCCCTGCATCCGGGATATTTTGACTTCAACTTGTACAGTGGTAGGAAGTGGAGAAGTGTCAACCATCTTTATATACAGTCTGTTGTTGAGTTTTGCAAAACATCCACCTATTTCTTTAGAGAGAAATTGCAATTTATTACCATTTGGCTCTTATTTCTCAAAGTTCTGGCTATGATTTCTCTCAGTAACATGACTGTACTTGGATTGTACCTTGTAAATTTGCTGAGATCTGGGAACATGACATCGCTACAGAGTTGTCTGACAAGTCAAGGAACACGTTTTAACCTGGGTTAGACACAATTATTTGGAAGAAAGAATTAAGCCAAAATTAAAATTATAATTCAAAATGTCCACTTTAAACATTCATCAGTTTACAGACCTGCTTTGTGGTTTAACTTTGACTGAGTATACTTGCTATAGTTGTGCGTGCTAGGGGTGTGCCACGATAACATCGGTATAATTTTTAATATCATATGAAAAATTCATATAGTGACACTCGCGATATTACGACCAATTGACACATATCTTTCAGCGGCTCCTCTGGCTGCAGCACAGCATCTCACCCTCTCCTCTCTCGCCGTGCACACACAGGAGTTGGTGTCGGCAAGTGATTAAACCTTTGGTAATGTAAACCTATGTGATGCTCACAGCTCGACAAAAACTACATATATGTGAATGTGGAATAGTTAAGGCAGCATAACAGCCTGTCACAGGTTACAGCGTGATGATTAGAGCAGAAAGGGCAGAGCAGAAAGGTCCAGGTGGAAAAAAACAATCATTTAGGACTTTGATAAAAGAAAAGGAAATCACCTGTTGATTTATATATATATATCCCAGGGTAATTTTTTTGTATTTGGGAGCTGTTTAAATGTGTAATTAGTGGTAGATTTTATTTAGTTGAACTATTAATATTGTATACAGAATCTGAATCAAACTCTGAGTTACTGTTGTTGTTCACAAACTAAAGAAATGAGAGATCATTTTATTTTTTACTGAACATTTTAAGGTAAAGTATTAGGTTGACATAAAACTTTACTCGATGCATTATACACTTAATTTGTTGCAATTCCATGATCTTAAATTAATAATGAAATATTTTTTTACTAATTGGTCATATCGTCAAAGATATCGTTATCGCATAAATACCCGGAAATATCGTGAAATTATTTTAGGGTGCAATAAATTATTAAATTATCGACATTTCAGGTGCAGTCACTTTCAGTTTGTCCTTAAAAGTAAATGATTTAGATATTTTATTTATTTTCATTTATTTTATTTATTCAACAGAAACAGTGCACAGATACTTAGCTGCCCAAGAGGTAGCTATAAGTTAATTTTCACGTGTAGTCCCTGAGCAGGAAACAGAGAATAATTTAGACACTAACTAACAAACTAACAAAATATTGTGGCTGAATTGCTGGTTGCTTGTATTTTTTGCTACTCCTTTTATATCTTCAAAGATATCACCGGTGAAATAAATGGAAGATGACACAACAAAAGTGAGACCCAAAGTGCAATAAATTGGAAACATCCCTGCAGTATCAGACCATAATCTCCTCTGTAAGTTAATTTAAAATATGTCAAAAGTATGAACTGCATCCAATAAAAACTAGGACTGAATTTCGACAACCTGATTTTTCAAGTGGATGGAAAAAGTTGCGCCTGTTTTAAATTAGCTTGTTTTCCTGTTGCCTGCACATTGACTGATATGCACAGCTGTGGCCTCACACACACAGACACGCACACCTTTACACTAAGATATGCATCTTCGCACTCTACACACACTCCTAACCTCTTCCTCCTCTCTCACACACAGGCATGCACACATTCACAGGAGGCACTCCACTCTCATCTCCCGATGTCAGTGTCTGACTGGTTCTATCAGTGGGCCTCATATGACAAACAAACCCACCACCATCATCAGTTGCGGGTGGTCTCAAGATTACTTTTCTATACATTCTCTATACAGGCTTTGATTCTCAGACATGGCAGCAACATGGCAGAGATTTACTATAAACTCCATCTGTATACACATACCAAAGCTTTCATCTCTCTAATACCCTGCAGATCAAAAGCCAAACACACATGCATGCACTCTGGTACACACACATTTATAAACACAGCCTTTCTGTGTTAAGAAGCCTTGCGTCTCAGTTACTGTTTGACACCATCTGAACTTTTTAAGAACGCACTTCTCACCTCACCGACAAAGCCTCTGCAATTACACTTTGTATGTATGTGTGTGTGTGTGATAGACAGAAGGAAGATGATGGTTTCTTGTGAATTAAGCGCGAAAGTAAGTAGGCTGTGGATGGGAAGGGGTGACAAGAAGAGGGGGAGGGTGGAAAGTCGGCAAGGCGAGCTTGAAATAGGTGTGTCCAAAAATAGTCAGATGAGAGATGAAGACAGAGAGGAGGATGATCGTTGAAGGAGTGCGTCAACACTCGCAGATATACGAGCAGTGGACAGATGCAGGGGAGGAAGGAAGGAAGGAGGAAAGGAAAGGGGATGAAAGGGGAGGTGTGTGTGTGTGGTGGGGGGAGGCAGGAAAGACCTTCTCCTTTGGTGTGTTTTTATCATTTGAGGCACTCACATGCACCTGTAGACACTACATGACCTTGCTGAAGCACAGGCAACAGCAGGAGAGTCAGATTTTTGAGTCACACACACACACACACACACACACACACACACACACACACCATCTTAAACACGGTTCATGACAAGATCTGATTCCCTCCTGACAGTGTCTGAGAAATAGTGAACATTCCACAGGGAGAGGAAAACAGGTTGAAATTCCTGATTCATATGCTGGGAAAGAGTCTGGAATTTCAGAAACATATTCTGAAAATCTCAAGATAATGAAAACACATGCCTGTGTGTGTGTGTGTGTGTGTGTGTGTGTGTGCGTGTGTGTGTGTGTGTGAGTATCGAGCTTTGAGAAAATCTGAGGATGCCAGTGGGCAGCTGTGAGTAGGTGGAAGATCAACACTGTGTCCAAGTATGTGAGAGTAGCTGAGCAGTGGAGGGGGCGTGTGTAGTGGGACTTACTCTGTTACAGAGTGAGTGGCGGCCTTCTCGTGGTAACGGTACACTAGCAGGCACTGGTCAACCCTGGCCATGCCCCCTCCCTGACGAAGACTCTGGTAGAAGAAGAGCAAGTCCTCTGGGACTCCCTGGAGAGGAGGGCGTAAAGTTGGTTCATGACGGTTAAAAACTGTAATTCATTTCTTTATTAGAAATTAAGGTGCTAATGGAGCTTTCTTTGGTTCGATATTTTGTGATGGTGGCAGGGTCCATTTAGATACGGACTTAATATAAATGAAGTGAAGTAACCGTGAGCTCATGTGGTGTCAGAATAATCTGTAAAATGAGTCCCTGCCTGGGAAAATTCAAAGTCGAAACAACCGGAAAGTCAGCATAAATGTTGGTACACAGATTGCCGAGCTAACGTCATATCTGCAAAAACAACAGACTGAATCACCATTTAATTTCCCTTCATCCATGCACTCTGACACTGTGTTCATGTTAGCCAAATTCTTGTTGGAAAGAGGGGGGCATTCTGCTTTGTTTAGTAGATAATTATGTATTTGTCTCGCCAACGTCATTTTCAGTTGCTGTGCTAGCAGCTGCCAGGAGAAGTTAACTTTTTTCAAAGCATTTTACACTCTGATCTAAACAGATAACTTACTGTAAAGCAGAACAACAATTTCAAAGGTCTTGACTAATACTACTGCATATGTGCAAAAATTGTATAAATCCTCTGTGTCTCAAGAGAGAGATGTGTGAGATCTGATAAATGGCTGTGTTTAAAGACAACACTGTGAGGTTGACAATGTTAAAGGAGTGTAATACTAAACCAGAGAACTCTTTTCAGAGACTGTTTTGAAGTTGATTTACCACAGCTTTTCATAGCTGCATTTATCTAATCCACACCTGTTGTCATTTTACATGAATGTATCTTTATAGCTGGCTGTCTATTGCTCAATGTCCACTGTGCTGTATGGCTCGACTTGACTCGACTCAACTCGCTTTTGGTACCAGGTACTTTTCTTGATTTAGTTTTCTAGTGCAGGTAGTACCCCCTTAATGTAGACAGGATTGTTTGCTGATTGTAAAAGTGAAGCTGCCCTAAACTGCAGTGACATCATCTTCTACATGACACAAGCTGGATCCTTTCACTGGCAACCAAACAAAGCAACGTCTGTACTTCGTCAATTGTATGTCATAGTGTATGCTGTATTTTGTGGGCTGCCACTTTTTCAAATCTCAGATGAGTGAATGAAACAAATTGCAATTACTATTGGTTGTAGCTTGGTGTTTACTCTATTTAAAAATGTCTGGTTTGTGCAGGATTTCCTGTGTCACACAGCTGACAATTCTAGTGACGATTCTCTCTGACTATCAGTGGTCTACAGTGTTTTAACTCCACGTCCAGCGTCGGCTCAACTTGCTTAGAACATTGACTGATGAGGTACTAGGACAGGTACGATCCACAAATTTTGCCAATGGAAAACCAGACAAGAGTGGGCTGAGCTGAGCAGTACTGTAACATGCAGTGGAAATGCAGCATATGTAGGAGGTGACTTCCTCATTCTTAAACACGCACACCAAACTCTGATTGGTCAATTGCGTCTGTAACTGAGGGAAACAGCTGCCAATGGACACATTTGGATTGCTGAACAAATCTGAGGCAACATTTCAGATGCTTAAAGTAACATTTTAAATGTGTAAAATAAACAAGAGCAGAAAGTGGAGCCCAACAAAGGATGGATTGATGGAGTGTTATTTGGAGTGGGAGGGAGGAAGGGAGGCCAAGGAAAGAAACACAAATACAGTGAGAAGGCTCTACAAATATTTTGGTTGTGAGGTCTCACCTTGCCTCCTTCATCGAACGGTCCAACCTTCAGGTACCAGCTCCTTGAGCAGAACCATGTTGGCATGACGACTGTGGGCCCATGAGACGTGTACACCTGAGACAATACAGAAATCACATGTTATCAGTCAAATAATACTGTGTTGTGGACACACTGTGAGTCTCCATACTGGTTGCTGTGAACGGACAATGTTTTCACTAACAGAACTCAGGTTACATGTCTGTTTGTATTTGTACCACTCTTTTTTAACAAAGTTTGGGTGTTGGGTGAGACAAGAACCAGAAAGATAAGTAATCATACCTGAACCAAAACATACAATTTAAATGTAAAAACAACACTGACTGGCTACAATAAGCCTCCAGAGTAGCGTTAATGCTCTTTCTGAACTCTACTGGAGGGGTGACATGCTTCTTCCAAAAGATATTCCCTCATTTAGTGTTTCATGATGCTGGTGGTGGTGGAAAGAACTGTCAAACATCTCCCACAGGTCTTCAACTGAGTGAAGATCTGGTGAAGGCTAGAGCAAGGTACCAAAGATTTGCCACAAGATGAGCTGAAACATGCACCGCTCTGCAACGTTCTAAAAACCTGCTAATTTACACCAATGCAACTAGATGAGATGGTGTATCATCCAAATGCAGAAACAGGCAACGTGCCTTACCTTCTAACACCACCCACCACGATTTAACCAGTGGAGTTGCAGGTGACATCGTCAGCCGGCTTGAGTTGAGCTCAGACGGCCAGTTCACACCACTGCAACCTTTCTTTGCAACGTTCTAAAATAGTTTAGTCTCCTCGCGAATTATTGGTCTGAACTGGGCTTAAGATGCACTGCAATCTGGTCACACAAAAACCACTTGTCGAAGTGGTCTGGGCCGCATTGTGTAAACACTCATGCATCCTGATGCATCCCAGACAAGGACTACATCATCAATGCAGGACGTGGTGGTTGTTTTGGTGACCTGTGCTAACGCTCTATAACTTCCCCATTTTACCATGAGTTGGACGGAGTGTTGTGCGACTGTCCATCATTTTGCCCTGTGGAAGGAGACGTGATGACTTCTACTGAAAGCGGTATGTCCAGCTGTATGGACACAACTGCTAACATGACGAGCAAGTATGTTTGCAAGAGTGTTGACGTAATAATCAAGCACAGGGCTCTTTGACCTTCAAGCATAAGTGACATAAGCAGTAACAAAATCTGAACACAAGTGGTCAGCTTGAAGCCCATGGTAGTCACAGGTGTGAACGGGGATGTGTCTCGGCTCTCCACTTGTGTTCGGATCATTGAAACACATGTTAATATCAGGTGGAAACAGGATTAAAGAACTGACCAGTACACCTGAAAACATAGTGTTAGATGCTGTGAATATCAACATAGTTTAATGATATTCATATGAATATCTCTTTGTGTTTAAACATACAAACAAGTCTGCTGTCAGGCTTTTACAATCATATACTGCAGAGTAACCAGGATATGTAATTAGATTCATCCCTTGCAGTTTTTCCCTCAAAAAGCTGTCTGTCTCTGTGCTCACACAGCACAGGAAACAGCACTTTGTCTCAGCTCCACTTGATAAATAAAGGAACTTCTTGTTGTAGTTACAGAACACAACATCCATATCAGCTGAAACCCGACCAGGATTTGGTGAATGGCTCGGGGAAGTTTCCTATTTGGTTTTTAGGAACAAACTGAGAAGGACTCTGCAAGAGCTCCAATGCTGAAAACAAAACAGGTTAGAGTGCAGCCGCATGTGCTCTATTACAGAAGTGTGCGCTTCCTGAAGTGTGCAGGGGAAGGATACACACTTCCATCCTCCAGCACATGATTTTTGACTAATGAGTTTGTTTTGGTCTCTCCTTCTCTTTCTAACCACATCTTTAATACACCAGGACCTCATTAGGGCACCTATATTTCTTTCTCTTTTTACCCCGACTCATTTGTTCTACTGACACACACACACACACACACACACACACACACCTTCTTGTTCCTCCTTTACTATGTGTGTGTGTGTGTTTCCTTAAGTGTTGTGTTCTCAGTCTAGGGGTCATTCCAGGTTGATCTGTTCTTTCCTCCAACTATGTCACTGTGTGTATAACGTGCGTATAAGTGTGTGTGCATGTGCATGTGTGTGTGTGTGTGTGTGTGTGTGTGTGTGTCTCTTCTTGGTCGAAGCTGAACACGACTGCATAACAGAAATGAATCACAGATGAAGAAAATTGAGAAAAACATCTGGATTCAGCCAGACGAACAGCTGGACAGAATCTAGCGTGTATGTGTGTTTGTGTGTGTCCACCTACGTACATCTCTTCTCCCCTCTGTTGTAATATTGCAACATTTTGCAGATGTAAGCTGCGGCCAAAAGCATGAATAAGAGGAATAAGAATGAGTTCTGGGAAACGAGGGGACAGAGAAAGAGAGTCTGTCTTGGTGGTGAGAAATCAGTGGGGTAGGGAAGCTTTATGATAACCATATCTAATGTCCTACAGATGAACACTCGGGGTCTACCTCTGGATCAAGTTAAACGAGCCCCAGCCCGAGTAAATCTCTGGTTTACCTCGGCTAGATTCAGTTTCTTTACCCAGAAACTAGAAGTAAAGTGAGGAAAGAGAAGGAGAAAAGAAAGGAGCTGCTTTTAAGCCTGCAGAATCAATGTATGATCTCATTCTCATGCTTCATGAAACTTAATATCACATAAATATCCAGGAATGCCTGCTAAGGAGTTATGCAGACTGTGTATGTGTACGTGTGTGTGTGTGTGTGTGTGTGTGTGTGTGTGTGTGTTACGGAGAGAGTGGGTCCAGATTGTCTTGTTTCCTTGGTGACAGTGTGTTTTGTTCAGCAACAGTCGACATCCATCTCTACATAAATAGTAATACTGCCAGCGGTGTCAGATTCATATCAATTATCATGTGATGATTAATGTGATTATTCAATATGGTGAAAGTACGTATAAGCTGTAAAGGAGGAATTTAAAATGTTTCACTCAATAACCCCTTTAAGTAGCCACTGCCCTGCCAGTTGATATCTCGGTTACCAGATGCATTGTGATACAGCAGTACACTTAGTGCATAGTGTTATATCACCACGTTAGTAAACCAACACTATGCTAATGTAAGGACAGTGGGCATCACTTGCCAATATCTTCCTAAGTTTTTTCTTGAATTTGTTCCCGAGAAAGGTCCTACGAAGAGTCTACACCAGATTCATGACATGCTCTTAAACCACAGAATTGTTCACACCTGTGTTTTTATAATGAAAAATCCTACTGTCCTTGTAAGTTGAAAGAGCTTGCCAGATGATCCCTATTAGCACAGGTAAACGCCCTGCTAGTCCCCATAAAAGGGCATGAGACCGCCAGGCCATGTACATGCACAGAAACTGAAGAGGAAGCTGAGAAAATTAAGTCAAGGATGCCCAAAGGAAAGTCTAAACAGGGTGGAGCACCGCAATCTAAACAAGAAAAGGACTTGAATTGCTGTGAAGTGGAGGTACCTCTGCAGAAAGTGAGAACCAAACGAGCTTCCATATTCAGTAGAGTCGGGAGTGCATATAAAATAATACAAAAAAGATGCACAGGATGCAAAAAAAAAACCCAACATTATTCAACCACTTGACTTACAAACTGCAAACTTTATGCATTTTAGTGGCACAATTGTCAGGACTGAGGACAGAGACAAGCTTCTGTTCTTAACTAAGAACAAATCCAAAATAAGAAAATATCAGTGAAGGTCAGAATCTTTGTGAAAACTGCGTAAGGCCCTGGTCACACTGAAAGCATTTCGCAGGTTGCAAAATGCAAGGTGCGCGTTTTTTTAAAAACTGAATGCCACTAGTGAAAAAAACGCCTGCTGCGCCTTTTTATTGTTGCCAGGCAACCAAGGGCTCACCTCCTTAATCTAAGGGCACATTCACACCAGGATAGTCCAGGGGACTCAGTTCCGCCTGGACAACGTCACGCAGATACAACAGCTGCTTGTTTGGGGGCGGTATTGCCCGAAACAACCACTGACCAGGAAGGAAAAAAAGCATGAGGAAGAAGAAAACCCAGCTTATCGATTGGCCAGGACTGAAAACGGAATTCCATCCCCTTCAGCCAGCTTGGTCACCACAAAAACACCAAACACCAAAATACACTGCACTCTACGTAACTTCCTCTCTTTGCTTCGCTTGATAGTCCATTTGCATTTCCCAATGAAAGCGAACCGCACCAGGGTTCACTTGCAAGTGAGCCGAGACCCCCAGTTTTCAAGCGGACCAGGGTTTGCTCGTTGGTCTGCACCAGAGTTCGAATGAGTGTTCACACCACTCCAAACGAACCGAACTATCCATGGAAGTGGACCAGGGTTCGTTTAAAGTGGACCAAATAGTGCCAGTGTGAATGCGTCCAAACCTCCCTGTGTTATCAATCTATCGTTTATTTATTTATTTTAGTTATATGACAGTAATCAATAGCTAGGTCCTAAAAAGTTCAGGCAGAGGGTACTTGCTGTAGCTCTGGTTGAAGGTGAGAGGCTGTCAGCAAATAGTTTGTTGGGCAGAGGAAACAGGAAGATCTGTGTGGGTACATGAGACCCTAAAAAAGAGGGTGGATCATGGAGAGTACCACCAGTTGGTCCAGGAGCTTCTCCTCCATGATGGCTGTTTCCAGACATATTTTAGGATGACTTAGGGGCAGTTTGACAACCTGCTGTCTATCATCGGGCCGTACAGCTCTGGGTATCCAGCAACCGCCACCACCAGTTTCTCCTCCATTATTTACCAACTGTGAACTTGTTGTTGTGACCACCACAGAAGGCCCGCCTCTCAAAACATCCAATTGGACAAAAAAAGGTAATGTCAACAGAGATGACTTGGGGCATTTTTCCGCTTTGGGTTGAAGTTTTTTCAACTCGAGGTGTTCAGAGTGCTCCGGCAAAAATATCAGGCACCTAAAGTGCAGAAATGCGAGGCGCGCAAGCAAAAAGCTTCATTCTCATTAAAAACAATCAGAAGAAGCTGCCTCCAGCTGCTAAAATGCTTTCTGTATGATCAGGGCCTTAGTGGATTTTCGGAGGAAATTTCGTCATATGAACAGTTGGTGAATGAAGCCCAGTGTTATCAGTTTGGTTGCCTTGTGCTGGAGCACGTTAGCATTATTTTTGTCATTCAAGACCCTCTGATTAGGTGATAATAGTGTCATACAAGTTTGACGTGACTTGGCAGATGACACTTGGATCGTGACCATTCACAGCGTTCCATGTTTATTCATTATACCATCTGCCAAGGGAGGAAACTCCAGCTCCAACTGCCCTGGGGGAACAGCCAATGAAATCTAATGTGGAGGAGTGCAGAAGCTGATGTCTATCTTTAAAATTTTGGTATCGTCTTCAGTGATGTTAATACGTGTCAACTTTCACACAGTGGTGCGGTACATTAAGTACTGCGTGTCAAAACGTCTGCTGCAGGAGCAGTTGAAACAAAAACAGTCTGCACAGTAAGCTCACAGTGCTTTTGTTTTTTTTCCACTGCCGACAGTTTCCTCTATGGGCTCCCCTCAGCAGACAGCTGGCAGTGTGACACATTTCCTCTGGTGGGACTGAGATGGACAGAGAGGTCAAGCATGGCGCTGCGTCCTCCGTCCAGTCCACTGTCACATTTCCGTGGAAACTGCGGATGGCAGGTACGTATCCTGTTTCTGTTTGAACTGGCTGCTGCCTGGCACATGACCTCTCACACACACAGATACACACATTCACAGGCATACTATGTGCGCCCAAACACACACGCTGAATCGAGCTGTGGGTGTTTACCTGTGTGATGAGCTGATCTTCAGTGATTGTGTTGATCCAGCGAGTGTAACGCTCAGTAGATCCCTCGGGAACCCTCTGGACTTTACAGCCAATCAGCTATCATGGAAACACACACAAAAACACCACAGGAGTGTGATATCTTAGGTTACAGTTAAGCTGCAAAGATCAATTCTAGTTTCAGTAGGAACCCTTCAGAATAAAGCAGGGGTGTCAAACTTATTTTAGTTCATGGGCCACATACAGAACACTTTGATCTCAAGTACAGTACAGGCCAAAAGTTTGGACACACCTTCTCATTCAATGCGTTTTCTTTATTTTCATGACTATTTACATTGTAGATTCTCACTGAAGGCATCAAAACTATGAATGAACACATGTGGAGTTATGTACTTAACAAAAAAAGGTGAAATAACTGAAAACATGTTTTATATTCTAGTTTCTTCAAAATAGCCACCCTTTGCTCTGATTACTGCTTTGCACACTCTTGGCATTCTCTCCATGAGCTTCAAGAGGTAGTCACCTGAAATGGTTTTCCAACAGTCTTGAAGGAGTTCCCAGAGGTGTTTAGCACTTGTTGGCCCCTTTGCCTTCACTCTGCGGTCCAGCTCACCCCAAACCATCTGGATTGGGTTCAGGTCCGGTGACTGTGGAGGCCAGGTCATCTGCCGCAGCACTCCATCACTCTCCTTCTTGGCCAAATAGCCCTTACACAGCCTGGAGGTGTGTTTGGGGTCATTGTCCTGTTGAAAAATAAATGATGGTCCAACTAAACGCAAACCGGATGGGATGGCATGTCGCTGCAGGATGCTGTGGTAGCCATGCTGGTTCAGTGTGCCTTCAATTTTGAATAAATCCCCAACAGTGTCACCAGCAAAACACCCCCACACCATCACACCTCCTCCTCCATGCTTCACAGTGGGAACCAGGCATGTGGAATCCATCCGTTCACCTTTTCTGCGTCTCACAAAGACACGGCGGTTGGAACCAAAGATCTCAAATTTGGACTCATCAGACCAAAGCACAGATTTCCACTGGTCTAATGTCCATTCCTTGTGTTTCTTGGCCCAAACAAATCTCTTCTGCTTGTTGCCTCTCCTTAGCAGTGGTTTCCTAGCAGCTATTTGACCATGAAGGCCTGATTGGCGCAGTCTCCTCTTAACACTTGTTCTAGAGATGGGTCTGCTGCTAGAACTCTGTGTGGCATTCATCTGGTCTCTGATCTGAGCTGCTGTTAACTTGCAATTTCTGAGGCTGGTGACTCGGATGAACTTATCCTCAGAAGCAGAGGTGACTCTTGGTCTTCCTTTCCTGGGTCGGTCCTCATGTGTGCCAGTTTCGTTGTAGCGCTTGATGGTTTTTGCGACTCCACTTGGGGACACATTTAAAGTTTTTGCAATTTTCCGGACTGACTGACCTTCATTTCTTAAAGTAATGATGGCCACTGGTTTTTCTTTAGTTAGCTGATTGGTTCTTGCCATAATATGAATTTTAACAGTTGTCCAATAGGGCTGTCGGCTGTGTATTAACCTGACTTCTGCACAACACAACTGATGGTCCCAACCCCATTGATAAAGCAAGAAATTCCACTAATTAACCCTGATAAGGCACACCTGTGAAGTGGAAACCATTTCAGGTGACTACCTCTTGAAGCTCATGGAGAGAATGCCAAGAGTGTGCAAAGCAGTAATCAGAGCAAAGGGTGGCTATTTTGAAGAAACTAGAATATAAAACATGTTTTCAGTTATTTCACCTTTTTTTGTTAAGTACATAACTCCACATGTGTTCATTCATAGTTTTGATGCCTTCAGTGATAATCTACAATGTAAATAGTCATGAAAATAAAGAAAACGCATTTACTAAAACAAATCATGAACAGCCCGAGATATCAAAAAAAATATGTGCAAATTCAACAGTATGTCTCAGTTTGTCCACAATCAGTTGACTACTCTCTTTGATTACATGTAACTTTTTTACATAATTCCCCACTAAAGTGGAAGCTACTGAATAAGCAGTAGTCGTCCCCTGCCTTACAAACCATTTACAATCTAAAGTTTTATCAGTGTGATATTAACACCAAACATGATGCGAACTTTTGACTTCTGCGACTTTGAACGGTAGAATATTTTGTGCTGAATTGCTTACTAACCATAAAGACCAGAGGTATGTTAGAGACAGAGACGGACGGAGCTCTGCGTTCATTTCGTCTGTATTTGTGCATGTTTTCTGAAAGCTTACGGAAACAGACGAAACAGAGCAGAACAACCGGAGATCATGGAGGCCGTGTAGCATAGTTCTAGAAAAGATACAACCATAGCAGACGACAAAGAAGTCTTAGAAATGCCAGAACAGAACGAATTGATAATGAAGTGAAGAGAATACTCTATCGACATGTCAGGATGTTTTTAGTGACCTATCAGACCACCGCCGTCTACAATGCTGCCTCTGTTAAAAGGTACAGCATTGTGACCTCCTCCACTGTCGCCTCGTTTGTTATGTGAAACTTTTGACTCCACCATCTAGTGCCATCTATTGGCTGTATCTATGCCAACATGTGTTCACACCAAACACGTTGCGATTTTTTGCGTCATGTTATTTGCATGAGTTTAACTCTAGAATATTGTGTGTCGACTGGCATCATACATGCATGAAATTGCTGAATGGATGAATAATTTTCCACCATTAAGTCCTCGGTATCGTACGTCCTCGGAGGATCTCAATGCTGACTGGCTATCGCAATCGGTTGCTTAGCAGGTGCAAGCAAGTGACGCAAAATTGTGCCACTTACTCCATTTATGCTGCTTAATTTACAGATTTTGTGTCACTTGCGTTGTGTTCACCACGCCACCCGGTGAGAATTTGCACCTAATCATGTCTTTACATCGACTTTACATGTAATTCAGTCGCACAAATTGTTTTATTCGCGCCCAGTGTGAACACAACGTAAGACACTGAACAGGGCTTCACCCATATTGTTTTCAAGTATAAGTCTGATGCAAAATCATTTAGAGGGCCAGACTGGACCCTTTGGTGGGTCAGTTCTGGCCCCCGGGCCATATGTTTGACACCCCTGGAGTAAAGGCACATTTAAATTAAAGTTAAAGTTCGTTGAAAATCCTTAAAAGCTTCCATGAAGCGTTGTTTATTAATCAATTAGTTGACTGACAGAAAACTAATTTGCCACAATTTTAGTTATTAATTAACCCTTTAGATAATTTTTTAACTAGAATCCCTAAAATGTGTTGCCTATAGCTTCTCAAATGTGAATATTTGCAGATTTTTTTTTTGTCTTGTAAGACAGTAATCTGAATATCTTTTAATTCTTCTGGCATTTTACAGGCCGGACAATGCAAAAAAAAAAATGTTACAAACCCTAGTTATCAATTTTCTAAATGACAAAATATCAGTTGTGCCCACTTTGATACATAGAGGCCAAATTTCAGGTCAGAGGTCAATGACGAGTAAAGAGGGGCTCATGTAAAGACAAGACAGGTTATACAGAGCTGAAAAACAAAGCAGAGGACCACATTTATTATACGCCACCATAAAGTAGCACAGCCATAACAGAGAGAGGCAGGCTGTTTGTGCAGGGCGGCAAGCCTGCTGTCTCCATGCTGTCTCCCTCACTTCCCTCACACACATGACCTTTGACCTCTGACCTGGCAGGCCACAGAAAGCATCAACACCGGATACTCTCACTGTTCTGCGTGCCAACTGCATGGAAGCACACACACACATGAATATTTTTGTGGAGGGATTTGTGAGATGGTCAGAAAAAAGAGAGAGAAATGGAGGGGGAGGGAGAGAAGTGAGGAGAAGAGAGAAGGAGGGGTGAAGGCAGAGCATGACAGAGAGGGAAGGAAGTGAGTAAGCAAATACTTGAGGGAGAACTTACAGAGTTTGGGTGGAGGAGAGACGCCTCGTACTGCAGACGAACTCTTTGGGGAAACATAACATCATCCTGGAGTACAATTCAAACACGTAGCACATGTTAATTATCATAAGTGTTCAACATCATGTGGGGGAAAAATCGATTCAGCAAAGTATTGTGATACTTTTGTGTGGCAATATTGTATCATCACACAGTGCCAAGAATATTTTTTTATATTCTATAAATTATTAATATTACAAATACAAATTAAACTTTAGGCAGCCTACTAGAATAATATAATCAGTTGCTTTGTCAGTCCACTAGATACATTTTGCTGCAAAAAAAAAAAAAAAAAGGTTTACAGTGAGATGAACAGACTGAAAATGTTATATTATTAAAGGTGCTGTATGTAAGAATGTGGCCAAAATGGTTACTGCACTCAAATTCAAAATACTGCTGCAAGTCGTGTCCGCCCCCCCTCCCCTACAGATTCGAGGTTGCTGGACAGTGGCACACTGGAGACTGATTTGTTTGCCCACGGGCGGCTGCCGTGGCAGGGCCGCGTCCTTGATCTTCGGTTTTCCAGCAGACCGTTCGAGCAAGTCCGGCTTCTCTGCTGCTAACGCTGCTGCCGGGATACAACTGAGGAGCCGGCTGCTAATGTTATGTACCGGGACACTGCTAATGCCGCTTGCCGTGCTGCTGTAGCTCAGTCGTAACTGTAACTGATGCTGAGACTCTACTGACTGCGTGACTGGTAGACGGCGGTGGGTGGCGCAACAGGCCTAAACACAAATTCAAAACATAAACATGATTTGCGGACCGTAAATTTTTTTAAATGCGAATATTCTGACTGTACTATTGTTGTCAGTGAGATCAGTATGTTATATGAACATTATTCCTTAGTCTCTGTGACATATTAGGAGGATTTTACGAGTATTTGCTTTAGATTTCTTACATATAGCTCCTTTAAACAAAACAGATGTTGACAAAGTTTTCCTTTGGAGACATAATTTACTGTTGAAAAAAGGTTATAAGGTTAAAAGGTTATATGTTATCACAATACTCAGCATAGCAACATATTTAACATTACAATAATATGTATCGTGACTTAAGTATCGTGATAATATTGTATCATCCATCCATCCATCCATCCACAGATAGATAGAGGGGTGGTTGTTGCTCAGCCTACAAGAACTTGGCTTGGGAACCAGCAGATGGCCAGTTCAGGTCCTGCACATACTGAGATATGGAGTGCGGACTGGTAGCTGGAGAGCAGCATTGATCTCATCATCATCTTGCCATCGTCAACGGCCATTTTTCCATGACTAAGATGAGCCGTTGATGAACTTAAAATAGATCTTTGATAATAAAAACTAATACCAAATGTATATATTTTTTTTCTTGAAAAGATGAGCCAGGACCATAATGTTAGTGATGGGCTACTTGACATTCAAATGTGTGATATTTTCCCCCAGTAGTGTATCCAGTCTGTCTGTCAAAACATAATCACTGTCACTGGTTGAACTGGTTGAGGTACGTGTGCAGATTCCCAGAATCCCAGCCATACAGGTGATGATTTCCCAAACCAACAGCAAATTAATGAAGGCTTCAACACAAAAGGGGATATATACATATTTATATATATATATACATATTA